CCAGGTAGCACGACAGTGATGTCTTTCATAAATGCAGCTCTGTGCCCACCCCACCCTGGAAGCACTGGCTTCCTCACAGTCCGTGTAGGGTACATTTGCCTCCGTCCACAGCCGCTCATCCCGGCACGGCCTGGAACTAAAGATGACCGAGTCCCACCGCCTTCCACCTGCCTTTGCCTCGTCTCCGTGCCAACACTCTCTCCAGGCTGTCCCCGGGATTCCTGGACCCAGCTCCGGCCTCTGGGTCTCTGCCTTTGCTCTCCGTCCCGCCGTTGTTGAGTCTGGAGGTCTTGTTTCTTTTTTTTTTTTAAAGAGATTTTTGCTATAGGGCAGGTGCACTCATGGAAGAGACAGACAGAAAGCTCTTGAGAAATCACCCCCTGGGGGCATGGCCACACTGCAGTCCCTTCTCCTCCATTCTCTGGGGATCCTGGGCCTGCACACTCGCCTGGTGTGAGTTTTAGGCTGCTAGGTCTGGGATTTGAACTGTGGTCAGCTACATGGGAGCCCAGTGATATAACCAATATGCCATTTGCTGGTCCCTGGAGGTCTCATTTTTGATGTTGTCTGTTCAGAGAGGTTTTCCTCCACTGTGGAACGGTCGCCCCCATCACTCTGGGGCCCTCGCTCATTTGCTGTCACTCTCTCCAGTCCCTCCCCCATTGTCATCACCCTCCACAGCTCTCTCCCTCCGTGTGACCTGTCTGTCCCACCTGCCCTGTGACTGCAGTCCCCACGTACCTTGCTCTCTGAACTGCCCCGTCCTCTGGCTGTTTGCTGCACAACTCCTTTGCGGCTAGAGATGGTCTCCGCTTCTCTGTCCCCGTGGACGCAGAGGCTCTGGAGAGCTGGGGCAGCTTTGACTTGTCCTTCTCAGACTCCCCTAGGCTGAGCGTAGTACCTGGTTCATGGAAGGAGCCCAGGACATAGAGAGGGACTCACAAAGGTTCTGGAAAAGCAGAATTAGAGTATAAATTTATTTTGGCATTTTTGAAGTCCATGCATAATTTTTTCATGATATTCATTCTTCCATATCCTTTTTTGAGAATCCTGCCCACTGTGTGTCCATTGAGCAAAGGAATGGGCCGTTAAAGGCCTGTTGTGTGTCAGTAGGCAACCCAGGCACGGGAGGCGCGAATGAAGCCGCATTGGAGGAGCAGTCACTGGCTTCCTTCCCCAAACTGGGCCTCTTCTCAGAGACTCTCCAAGCTGGTTTGCTCGGGACCAGGGGACTGAGTAATCTAGTAACAACCCCCGAGATACAAAAAGGAGGTCTATTTTTCTGGTCCAAGGTGAGGAGTGAAGACATCCCTTTACCTCCACTTCCCTCTAAAAATCTGGAAGTTACAATTGTGTTTGTAACAAGCAAGACCTCAAGGAGAAAATGGTTTGGAAAAGAAACACTGTTGTGTGTACAGAAGGTGGTCGCGTGTGTACAGGGGCTGGTGGCAGACCGAAACGCCACCGAGCGTAAAGGGGCTGGTCACAGACTGAAACACCGCCGTGCGTACAGGGGCTGGTCGCAGGGCTGGGTGGTAACGGACTTAGTAGACCTCAAAGAACGTTGTCCTGATTTAGCAGTGGGAAAAACTATTAAACTAACATTTAAAAAATAATAAACTCAGAAATCCATGGCATGAGGAGAGGTTGAAACAGGAAAATTAGTTGAAAACCCAAGAAACAATCACAGCCTACATCCTCACCCACTTCGCTTCTCGGAGCGTGTAAGTCCCCCGCTCCACCCCACCGAAGCCCAGGCGCTTAGTCTCCAGAAAGCATAGGTGATGCTGGGGACACGGAGTGGGCGAAGGAGCTGTCTGGGGAGTGGGGGGAGGGGAGAGACAAATGGGCCGTGCTGCGTGCTGAGCCCCAACTCGCTTCTCCAGAACTAGCCGCACTTGGCTGGCGTTTTCTGGGCAGGAGGTTGGAAGGCTCTTCTTGCAGAAGCTGCTAGCCCATGTGAAAAGCCTAAAGATAATTCCTTCAGGCCTCCCTTAACCAGGGCACCCAGGTAACCAGGTCAGAGTCAGCGACTGTACTTGTGAGAGCTCCACGCCCGTGTTTGGGTGCCCATTTCTTACACAGGTGGGTTTTTCAGATTACTACCATCTGCAGGCAAGGGTAAACCCAGAGAGACAGGAACAAAGCAAAATGGAGGGCCTGGAACCGAGCTCTGAGAGAAGCAGACCTCGACGACAGCAACAGCACACGCTGTTAACACTGGCAGGGTGGAAGAGAGGGTGTTGGCACTGTGGAACTCAGACAGGATGGACCCAGACGCAACGCAGGGAAGGGCTCCTAGGAAGTGAGACATGATCGCAGAAACAGACTCACGAATTGGAATGCAAAGCTAAGGGAATTCCACAAAAAGTAGAAGATAGAGAAACAGGAACCCGGAGAGAGCAAATAAGAACATAGAGGGTTATAACAGGAGGTTCAATGACCCAGTTCTAGAAACAGCTCTGTAAAGAAAAGGTAAAACAGAAAGGGAAAATTCAAGGAGATAGCATCTAAGTTCAAGAGGGTTGTTACACAGTGAGGTGACCGTAGTTAACAACAACGTGTGTGTGTATTTAATTTGCTACAGGGCACATGTGCTCAGCAGAGATGAGAGAGAGAGAGAGAGAGAGAGAGAGAGAGAGAGAGAGAGAGGGAGGGAGCCCCCGTCCCAATGACCATGGGGAGTGGTCATGCTGCAAGCCCTTCTCCACTTCTTCATCCATTTGGGATTTGGGGCACGCACACACATCCATTGTGTTTTCCAAGACACCGGGGCTGAGATTTGAACTCTGGTTGGCCATCTGGAATCTGGCCCCGTAACTACTAGGCTACAGGGTTGGCCTCAATGAATTGTATTCTTTTTTTGGGGGCGAGAGGTTTTTTCTATAGGATGCATGTGCTTACCAGAAAGACAGAGAGAGACAGAGAGGCAGAAAGCAAGAAATCAACCCCCAGGGAGGATGGCCACGCCGCAATCCCTTCTCCTCCATTCTCCTCTCGGGATCTTGGGCACACACGCACACGTGCCCGGCGTGAGTTTAAGTCACTGGGTCCGGGACGCGAACCGCGGTCACTACATAGGAGTCCAGCGTCATAGCCATTACGCTAACTGCTGGTCCCCAATGCATTGTAGTCTCAAAAATTATTAAGAATGTAGATTCGAGTGTTCTTACCACCCACAAAAACTTGTAAGAATGTGAAGTAAATACATAAGTTAATGAGCTCAATTTAGCCTTTTAAAAATGTATACATGTTTCAAAACAATACATTGTATGTGATTGAGAGAGAGAGAGAGAATGAGCCACATTTTTCTAAACCCAGAGGACATAGCTTAGGTGGAAAGGACCGATGCAGTTCCCAGACAACGAGTGAAAATAGACCTGGAGCCACAGGGACCCCGGGGCAGAGTCTGGTCCCGTGGAGAGGGAAGAG